TAAAGAAATTGCAACAAGACCTGTTACAACAGTATCAAGCAAGATGACTTTATTAATCACGCATCAAGCTTTTTTTTATGGTGGCTCACTTATTGCACCATGAAGAAGACCTTCTGCTTTGGTGTCAGTCTGTTTAACAATTAGATTCCATATCGCCATGCATCTGTTCTGTTATAGGTGACAGATGAAGTCAAAATAGTGGTACGAACAAAGAGAGGAGCACTTGGCACTGCTGAGTGTAACTGAATGTTCTTACCACAATTTCACATCTTCTGTGATCTATGATTGAAAAGTCACACTGCAACATGGATTCTGTCTGTTTTGTATAGTAATGAAGTAAAAAACTTTCAATTATGCTGTAGTGAATGTGTCTGCCCTCCAATAGACCAATCATAGTTCAGCTTACTACATGAACAACAAGATGTAGCATTATTGCAGTAGGCTTGACACAGGAGTGCATTAGAACAGTGGATGGAATCAATTAAGCCTAGAATGCATAAGAGACTTTTGCAAACCTCAGGAAACCTATGAACCTCTTGAATGACTATTGTAAGACATTTTAAGAAAGCTTCCTGCTTGATTGTTGTATAGGTTGGTGAAGATTGCACCCCAGTACTATGACCCTGTGTGAAGCCAAGCGTGTCATGGAAAGGATTGTAGAGAGGTTACAGAAGAACAGATAAAACTTCAAATGAATTGTGGACAACCTCATTAAAAAAATGATAATAATAAAACATGTGAAAGATAGAACTTGTAGAAAGCCTTATTGCTAAGAAAATCTTGCCATCATCTGCATTTGGTTCTTTCTAACTTAAAAGTAAAACTAGATATGCCTCTGTTTTCCCTCTGTTTGCTTCCTGAGATCTTTCCTCAGAAGATTTTTCAGCTAACGACATAGAAACAGTAACATTCAGGCAAAGACTCAGGCCATCCAAGCATGTTAAACAGTTTGCAGCTCCAAATAAAAGCTGCCCCTTGAATCCTTTAGTTGCTGATTTGTAACTTGTTGCTGTAGATAGCTTTCAATCGCTTTCAATGTCTTTGTAGTGTTAACTTTGAAACTCTAGAAACTGATTTAACTTCTCCCCTTCAGCTGCTTTAAATATTCTTGTACATCAGTAAAGTGATTTCACCCATTAGTTAAGTTGTTCCCTTTACCTGTTTTCTGATAGTAGTGGAGATAATGTGGCAAGAAGAAGTTGCATGTTCATTACTTCTTGGCATTCACGGGTGAAGTAATCAGCATGCATCTGAGTTCTACAAACTGGCTTGACTTGCAGGTCAGGGATCTTTAACCGAACGTTTTCCCACTCCTTGGTACATGAAACAATTGAAAAATTGCTTAATAAAATCCGAGGAACACACTTTCATTGTGTTGTTATTTTCAACTGTTTAAATGGAAGACCTTTGGGAAAACTTCAGATATCTTCAAGTAATTTAAGCAGCTGGTACTGATCTTCACCAATGCTTTGCGTCACACATTTTGCCAGACATTGAACATTGAATGTGGCAAATCGCAGACACGTTTATTTAGCACTTTGGGGCCCGGAAACGGAGGAACACATTAAATAAGTGAAAAACATTCGCCGGAAGTACAAAGTGGCGCCTTTGGGGCCCCGACAGGGAATACAATTTTTCACACTAAGCCTGTTATGGACATGGTTTTATTTTACATTTACTTCTCTTTTCGTTAACGATACGAATAAACGACGCTCAGAGCAACCTGCAACCTGTAAACTGCGCAGTAATTCAACGCAAATTTATTAAATTATTGTAGCAAGTAATTCTTTTTTTTCGAGATATGAAACTTTGCTGCAATTAAAATTGATTTACTTAATGAATATCATTAGATTACCCTTACATGGAATCATAGACAATTTCCCTCAAAAACAAAATTAGACCAAAAATAATCGCAAGACAAATCGTAAGGTTACCATAAGCATAAACAACAGCTGAGCTCCCCTCACACTAGTGCTGTTTTGTACAACAGTACCATTCATTCTCCAGACAAAACGAGGAGCCGGTCCACCTTCCGCCGGGCACCGTAAAGATGAAGAATGGTTGAGCAGGACAAACTGAGTCTTTGCGACTTCTTTTAGGCTTGTAGGAACTAAGCACAAACACAAAACTAATGAGACATCGAAATCTGTACACCATTTTAATA